TTATTAACTGCTGTACTTACGCCATCAACATTAATAAATCATTTACTTTCTCAGGGTGACCTTATAATTATGAAACGGTGCAAAAGCCGACACTATCTTTAAAAAATTCATAAAAAATTAGAGGTGAAGGATATTGCACCAAAATTTGAATACGGAGGTACATTGTGATGAGGAATCTTCCTGTGTTTGCCAAAAAATTCCATTCCGGCTGCTTTCTCCAGAGTCGCAAAAGTCGAGGGTGACCTTATAATTATGAAACGCACTGTAGACCACATGCGCATTCAATACGCCACCAATTCGGAATGAAAGTCGAATGCATCCCTCAGACGGGATTGATTAACGCCCGAAGACTTAATCATTTATCCTTGATTTAAGCAGAACTTTTGAGTAATAGATACTCTTTGCTTCTGTATCGAAACTGGTAAAAAAGAATCCGGTCGATGGGTGATAGATTGCGCGAAAACACATTATGCAAATCACGTTCGAGGGCTACTACAGAGGGGTTTTTTAGGGGCGATCGTCCGTTGTAATTTCCTGCAGCCGGACGGTATCAGAAAATGGCCGGAGTCGCAGCAATCGATTTCGTTTGTTTTTATATAACGTCTTAAAAAAGGTGTGAAAACGACCTTTCAACTCAATCAACTGACAATAACAATTAGCAAAGTTGTAACAGCGATGACACCATTACTTCTGTCTTGTTGTGGAGTATCTGCTGATTACCTGGCAGATGAACCTTCAGCTGTGCAGATTCCTACTGAGTGCGGGGAAGACTGTTACCCCAGGATAGCCCAGCCGTCAGAAGTGGCCAGTCGCTTTCACTTAAAATAGCGGCCTACTTGAAGTTCATGGTCCAGGCTCCAGAACATTACACAATCGCGAGAATATCATGTGGTTTCATGGATTACAGGGTAGTAATGCTTGTGTTAAATTCGTCATAGCATAGCAAACAGGAAATCCAGAAAAAAATTAAAATATTTTTCAAAATATTCCACTATAGAGCAAGGTTTGTTAGCGTTTATCATCTAACTGCATCTGCAACAAATATGCTCCTTTTCAAATGATATCACCCGCTGCAAGGCAGTTAAACACGTCCTCTCGTACGATTAATGAGCAACAATGGGTGTCGAGTTCAGTTTTGGGATCTCATTGTGTCCAATATAGACGGCTTTCTGCCCTGATGGAACCATTCGGCCATTGAGAAGCCACAAATTGAGTCGTATTCAGGGGATGTAGCAAAGTAGTAATGAGGGCCCTCCTTATCTGCATGCGCTTACATGACGAGTTGTTTTGACAGTCTCTACTTCCGATTCTTTGTAACTAAGCGTGATGAGAAGGTGATAGGGGATCAGAGCAGTTAGCAAAACTAGGAAAAAAGGGGTATACGGTAAAAGGACCCGAAAAACTGCAATTTTATCGCTGAAGCAATCATGATTGTTGTTACACTTCTCCGTTTTTGTATTGGAAACTCTGTGACGACCTATCTACAGGGTACAGGTGCAGCTTTGTTTTGTGGATAGGTGAAGGGAAGCGAACAACTACAGTGGAACCGAATCCGTAATTGGAAAAATGAAAATAATGGTAGTGGAGCCATTTTCCAGAATCTTTGAGTTACCTTCCCTTTGTGTCCTTATTCTTATAATTCTCCTAAAACGCTCGACAGAGTTACTTAAACACAGTGTGATTCATTTGTAATGCAGCTAATGGATACAATCCTGTCGTGAACCCTCAGTTCACGGCGACTACTTTCACCCATTACTAGTATAGAAAGGAAACCACGAAGAATTCTGCTCGGGAGCTCGGGAGACTCCGTCTAGACGCTTCGTCATCACTCTGCCTCTAGTGATTGTAGAGGAAGTCTAAAAGGGACTTGGTAAAAGAAGTCTTGCTGAGGGCTTAGTAGGTAATGGGCATGATGAATGAAGCCGAGACCGGTTTTGGGAGAGAATTTTACTTCTCTCCCTTCTTGGTGGGTCCAAAACGTGGGTCATTATGCGAGAAAGAAAGGGAAAAGGAAAAACGATGATAAATAGCAGCTAAAATTGCTACTCTAAAACCTGGTTTTTCAAAGTTTACCAGTTTCTAGTGACAATTTCTACTTTTGGCAGTAACAGGACGATGTTTTCGACGCCTATAGCTTAATAGAATAGAGTGTGAATGAATAGAAGTATATAGGAAAGAATTAGCCGCTAAAATCCTACTCAGACAGCCCAGGTACCACTTGCGGCCCCAAAAACACCCTCGATTTCACATCAATTCGTCAAGTTGGAGTACACTCTGACTCTGAGAGCACTCTGATAGTCCGTCTGCAATGAACCAACCTTATCAGCTCGATTCCGTCAAAATGCAAAGACGTGCGCTGTTTCCGAGAAAAGAACAGCAAATCGATTGGACCGTTAAAAAAGAGCTGAATCACCTGTTTCTTTCCCTTGTTGGTGAGGAAGAAATATGCCACAGCACCAGCAGCTACTAAAAATACACCGAAGAATAAAGCCAAAAACATTTTCAGCACTGGGAGAAGGCAGAAGAGTTGGTAATGGCAGCAGTTGGTGCAGCGAAAGGGCCTATCTGTCCGCCGCCCGCTTGATGCTCCGCCTTTCCATTGACCGCATAACGACCATCCCTCGTCGCGCACGTGCGACCACCAACTAGACCGAACTTGAGAAAGCTGTTTCNCTTTCCCTTGTTGGTGAGGAAGAAATATGCCACAGCACCAGCAGCTACTAAAAATACACCGAAGAATAAAGTCAGAAACATTCTTGGCACTAGGAGCAGGCAGAAGAGTTGGTAATGGCAGCAGTTGGTGCAGCGAAAGGGCCTATCTGTCCGCCGCCCGCTTGATGCTCCGCCTTTCCATTGACCGCATAACGACCATCCCTCGTCGCGCACGTGCGACCACCAACTAGACCGAACTTGAGAAAGCTGTTTCTTCTGAATACTTTGTTAGCCAGTCAGAGGAAGATACTACAGTATAAAGCGAGCTTGCTTCAGTCAACATCACTGGAATAGGCCTCGCCAGAAAAGTGCGACATCCGAATGCGCGTTTGGCATCAGGGACAGACCCACGCCCAAAAGTCGGCCTTGCAGATTTCCCCACAGAACTAGCATCAATCTAGAATGGGTGTTTTGATTACTGTGTGCACCACTTGGTAAGTGGGCATGCACTGGTTAAAGCATCACTTTCATAGGCTTACCTATTGAATTTAGGCCTCAGCAGTAAAGGTTAAGAGGGAAATTTCCCCACAACGGTGATAGCTACATTACCTAGGCTGAGCTGCTCCCAATAAGGTCACACCCCTTTTCATATGCGAACACTTCGTACGGTGAGTTATGTTTAACATTTAAGTGGTCTTTTTCTCTTACATGCTCTGGTTTCTGATGAGGCTGCCTGATGGGACTCTAAGTGGAGGAAAGGAGATGAATCGAGTTCATTTCATCGAATCGCAGCCGTAATTCTACATGTTCTTCATCTTCTAGCCTTAATCCGGAGGCCGTTGCAGGGTC